TACACAATGCTGATTGGTTGGGAAAGGAAAGAGCCACACTGTCCTTAGTGCAGATGAATTTTTCAGAGGGCTCTGAAATATAAGTTCAGTATGTTATTAGATGCATTTAACTTAAATAGAAAAATATTTCCCCTGTTAATTCATATTTTTATAGCTGTATTTGGTCAGTTGTTTTGTGATGTACATGTAGAAATGTCTAAAACATCAAAAATGGAATTCAATATTAAAATCTTTTCAATGATTCTCATCAACTGATATATTCTCTTAATCTACTGTATGGGACACTAGTCCAAAAATATGTTCTATAAATAAATGATTTTTGTTAAATATTATGAGGCTCTCTAGGAATATTGCAATGTGCATGTTAGCATGTTCAAAGCTCTTAAAGGTTCTGTCAAAAAGTGAACATGACTCATGTAGTCAGCCCCCAAATGTTCTTTGCTCTGCTTCCTTAAAACATGGCACTATTAACCTTTTTCTGAAACAGGTTTTGACAAGTACTGTTTCAGATAACTCTGCTTAGAGACCAGTTTTCTTCCTTCTTCCATGTTTCCTCAGAGGTGATCATCAGCTGAGCTGTAAAGCACATATGCAGCCCTTCGGCATGAAATTCGGTCTCCTTCACAAAGCAGGACAGAGGAACAGTTATGTGACACATTTGACAGCAGATGTGCCTGACATATCATATCACTAGGGCACATAACTACTTAGTCAGTAGATGTAATGGAATGAAATATCTTGAGTTTTTTGCTGCACAAAATCCTCTTCTTCACATATATCCCTATGTTAATACTTTGTTCATTCAAGTATTATTCTGCTCCCAGAACAAAACCCCTGAATCCTAGGGGACATCAAAACTCTTTGTTCTCTATGCTCTTTCCCACCATGGATCTCGGCAAACCCTACCTGCATCTTTGTAGTAGTCTTGCTTTTATACACAAGTTTCATTCTATTCACATGACACCTCTGTAAATCTTAAGAGTAGAGGGACTTCAGTAATTGCAATTTAGAATGTCCTCAAGAGTAACCTGTCTAAAGTGAATGTGGGCCAAGTTTGCATTCAGTTTCTCATTATTAAAAAACAGGGACTATGTGTTATATTACAATGTTTTCTAAACTAATTATCCAGAGCAGAGGCTCAACGTGATGCCAATTCTTTACACGCGCTGCCAGACTAAACAAGTGCCTTTTGAGGTTTATCCATCACAATTTATGATACATTAAGCTAAATCTAATGTTCTCTCAGGCCAGTGTTAGGGGATTTTCAATATTCAGACTAAGAAATTGCATTTGAGTAAAGGGATTTCTCCTCTCTTTTTTTCCATAGGATTTCTTTAGTTCTGTAGTCTTGTTATATAGTATTGGACCTTTGTTATACCCTGGTAGTAATCGCAGATTGATTTTTAAGCATTTGAAATCTTAACTGGTAGGAGGAAATGACTTTAAATTAACATTGCATGAACTACTATAAATTGTTCACTGAGAAAGAGAGTGTTTAATTATAAATGAAGGAACCTGCTTCTCAGTTGATTAACTATATTAAACACTTTATATTTTCAAATCTCTACACTACTGCTAATAAGCTATTTCTCACAATAGGTCTCAGAGGGAACCTAATACTATCACCTACTATTTTTTAATTGATGCACTTGACCCATAAAAATTAGATGGCCCATATTGGACTGCATAGAAATGAAAAACTACATTAGGTCTCAAGTTCTTAATGTACCTGTGCCTAGTTTACAGAGCTGTGCTCTTAGTTTTCTGAACAGCCAAAGTAAATTAGAAAATCAAATGAATTTGACTTCCTTCTGCTACCGTATATAACGCGCACGCACACACACACATACACACACACACACATTTTTTCTTAGAACATTTCTGTTCTGTATGTAAAACCAGACATTTTATTATGGAATAGCATAAAACAAAATGGGAGAGATGGTTCTCCAGTCAAATGAGCCACGCTACTTATTCTGAGATTCCTTCACTTTAGCTCACTTGTAAGACTCACTTGTCCCTCTTCCTTTTTAGAATGTGATTTGAAAGACTAATATTATTGATGTTGGCCAAGTTGTAAAATTGCCTGATACTGAGAATAACAATATTTGTGGCAATCAGTTCATTCTTAATAGCTCACTTGATTATATTGGTTTCCATCAAAATATAGTTATGTATCATATTTAATCTTATTTAGTAATTGGTTATTGGATTTATAATTTTTAACATTTTTACTTTGAATTTTAAAAGTTAATTTTCATGAGTAAAATGGTCCATAACACAAAATATAGAGATTAATTTAATTTTTTATCAGTGGTTTTGAATTGTTTAACAGTTTAAACCTAATTTGTCTAATGAGATTTCCCATTCTCTCAATGTTAGCATCACATTAATGTGTGACTATGCAGCAAAAAAGGAGAACTGCCTAGTAAATCAATGTTAATCACTGATATGTTAGGGATTTTTGTTGTGTCAGTATACAAAAACCAACACATGACTTTAGAATTAAACTCATTGTAAATGTGCTGCCATATAAAATTATTGTTAAATCAATATACATGTATTTCTAAACTTTAAAAATTGTGAATTGTTTATTTAAAATTTTTACTTAGGCTTATCATTTCTCTATAGGAACAGGATATGGAAAGTTCTTAACTAATGAAAGAAAATTCTCATTTAAATGTCATAATGCTAACCGAAGTAAATGCTCCTCATAATACTATTTTTTAGATCTATTTATAAAAGAAAATGATATTTTACATCCCATAGAACTACAGTTACATTTGAATAATATATACACAATATTATATACTAAATATAGTGGCCAGATATGGACATTTTTAGCACATTTTCCTTTCTACTAAAAGTCATATTTTAGTACCTTTTAAAATATAAGTATATGACTAAAGGTAATATTATGATATAAGTTCTCCTTATTCTATCCTAGAGACATGTACTGATGAAGCTATGGTTAGGAACAACTAAGGTTCATGCTCGTAAGTTGCAATTTATTGTGGGAAAATATAACAAAAATATGAAAATGTGCTTTAAATATTTGTCTTTGGTGTTTTCATTAAGATTGAAGATTTGTGCATTTTCTAAACAATATTTTGGAGGACTCTCTTCTGAGATTCAGACTCCTTCAAATTTATAAAACATTTCACAACTACATGATTGTTCTTAAGTATCGTAAGTGTTAGGACCATAACCTGTAAATACATAATTTACAATAGCTGAGGTCGGTGTTATGCCTATTCTGTTCATCTCATGTAATGAGGGTCTTGCCTAGTGTCTAATCCTGAACAGGAACCTAGAAATATTTCTTGAATAAAAAGAAATAAATGAACATTGTTTTTGATGATTATTTCTCCTCACTAAGATGCAAATAATAAAGCAGGTAAAATATTTGGGGCTCTAGAGTAAATGAAGTTAAAAGAAAAAAATTAAGATTTAAAAATGCATTAATCTCTAGTGCATTCTGACATAGTTTTATAGACTCCCATGGTCTTTCTAGGCCTTTATTGGACCAACTGAGGAAAATCAGGTTAAATTCAGGAACGCTTACTTAAAATGCAATTAGAAGGCCTCCAGTTATCTGCAAGTTCTCAGAATTCATATCATTTTTTATCATTGTCATTATATATTTAAGTTTAATGGTAAAAGAAAATGAATAATTTTATTCTGATAATTATGTTTCACTGCATATGCTTTATATCATCATATAGAGATGATGATGTTAAGAGAGGGAATTGGGTAGGGTGTTGGATAAGAGAAAAGTGTGTGCATAAGAGAATCACTGCCATAAAAAGGAGCAAACTCTGTTCCACAATAAGTCTCATGATGTAACTCAAAATTCAGAACTGGAACCCTTAAGAAGACAATAGACGCTCCCGCAGAGCCTCTGGTGGTTATCACTGGTGACCCAGGCTGTGAGAGCAGCAGCACTGACTTAGTTCCAGAAAGCACTGGTGTTAGGACACAGACAAAGAAGGCTTGCCAAGCCACCTGCCAGGAGGTCCTTCTGGCCAAATGCATGACAGAACCCTCCAAACAGTTTCAACAAGAAACATCTATGTATGGTGAAAGAGAGCAGTGACAGCAATGTTTTGAAAAACAAACTTTTTTTCTAACTCAGGTTATTTCAATATATGAAAATGCCTCATGATGTGAAGTGACTCAATTTTTACAAAACTAGTTTTGGTCAGCATGTAGATTTAACTTAGAAGAATTTTCTTTAAGATGACATTTGTGCGGTGTTTGAGCTGTTTAAGGACTGAGTGAATGGAGGGCAAAGAAGGGTGAATGGGGGACATCTCTAGTAGTATCAACATAAAAAAAGACTGACAACAACAAAGAAAGAAGTGCCATAATTAGGGAATGATATGCAAAAGGGCTTATTATTATAATAAACTGGGATTATTATAATATTTTAACTCTAATTTATAATGACTTTATGTAAACGGGTTATATTGTTTGTTCAAAATTCAATAGCAACAATGTTTAACTATTTAAAGTATTCTTTATCCCTGACTGTTGTGGGTCAGCGGATTGAGTGCCGACTTGTGAATCAAAAGGTCTCTGGTTTGATTCCTGGCAGGGCACATGCCTGCGTTGTGGGCCAGGTCCCCCTGGTGGGGGGCACGCACAAGGCAATCTCGGTTGATAGTTCTCTCTCTCTCTCCCTCCTTTCTTCTCTCTCTAAAAATAAATAAATAAAATCTTTAAAAAAATAAAATATTCTTTATATCACTGGAAAATATTATCTAACTAATAAAAACCAGTGTTCAGAGTCTCCAAATAACTGAAGTCTTTAGATTAATTCTGGATTACCCAGATGTGGTTTATTGATATTTCCACTACTTGGAAATAACCAAGAAACATAAATACTTTTACTTTATTTTGTTTTACACTATTTCAGCTCAGAGATGATTACCTAGAGTGAATGAATCCCTAACCTTATAAAAGTAACACTAACTACTTATTGAACTTTTATGTTTCAGCATTAAAAAAAGGACGATTTTGGATCACACCAGATCCTTATCACAAAGATGACAACATCCAGATTGGGCGTGAGGTGAAAATCTCTTGCCAAGTAGAAGCCGTTCCTTCTGAGGAGTTAACGTTCAGTTGGTTTAAAAATGGTCGTCCATTAAGAAGCTCTGAGCGGATGGTTATTACACAGACTGACCCGGATGTCTCTCCGGGAACGACAAACTTGGACATCATTGATTTAAAATTCACGGATTTTGGGACATACACATGTGTAGCATCTCTGAAGGGAGGAGGAATATCTGATATCAGTATTGATGTTAATATATCCAGCAGCACAGGTAAGCATATTTATGATGCAAAAGATGTTCCCATTGAAAATAATTTCCTTACACATAGCAGACAAAATAGTTTTCAGTAAACTTAAGAATATTCTTATTTTTTAAAAGTATACTAAAACCAAATTTTAACCTTCTGAATGCACAAGAAATACCATGTTGAGACATTGTTAGTTCTATTTTGATTTAAATTTACATGAAGTTTTACAGAAATAGTACAAATAAAATTAGTAGCATTGGCCTGAGAGATGTAGGCTTCCAGGTTAAATAGTACTCATTTGTTTGTTTTATTTTATTAACTAGAAACCCTTTTTACATCCTAAAATTACATTAATAAAGTTAAACAAGAAATATCTAAAGAGTTAAAGCAGCTTTTATAAATTTTAAACTAGCAGAAACTATTTAATCCTAATAAGAAAATATTGAGAGAAAATTTGAGTATTCAAATATAATATATAAGAAATGTATTTTTCACTAGCAAAAAACAATGATAAAGGTGTTAAACTTGTAATCAGGCCTGAGACTTTGAAGAACCTAATGATAGAATCTTTATACATTGAAAATGGTTAAATATAAAAATATACTGGAGTGAATTTCCTTCTTTTGGGATTGAAAATAAAAATGTTATCAGTTTTCTCCCAATTAAATGTACATCCAAATGTGAGGAAAATTAAAGAGCTTTTGTATGGGAAGTCACATTAGTTTAACTCTTACGATATTTTAGAGCCTTGTGATTTTATGAACAGCAGTCACTTTGTATCTGGAGAACCCCAAAGTAACTTTATTTGTTTTGCCCATTTGTTACCAGATTAAATTTTAAGATGTTTATATAATCTTAGCATCAATAATATGTATTGAAAATAGCACAGATGTAGTTAGCAGACATACTCTGTTTTGAGGAAATTTAAATAGTTAACTTTTTTTTTTCCAGTCAGAAAGCTTTTGACTCTTGTGTGTTAACTGATTGACCTGTGACTTTGTGTCTTCTCATGATTCCAAATTGCTACCCATTATTGCTAAGGGATATTCTCTTTTTATCAGCCACAATTAATGTCAAAGATCATCAGGGTGATGGAAAATATCCCTTTGGTAGATATCCTTTTCTATATAAACAAAGCAATAACTATTTTTTATTTAACATATATTTCAGAGTTGGTGCTAGCACTAGGAGGTAGGCTCAGTTTAGGCTATCTAATGGACAGTTGTGAATATGTTCATTCGGTCATCATTTTTATATATTCATTAAGTCAACAAATATCCACTAATTGCCTATGTTAATGTCTAGGTGACATCCACATATGGCATTTCCCATAAGAGTAGACTAACTTTGTAAGATCCAAGATTATTTGTCCTAATTAATGAGGGTCAGTTTTCCAAAACTGATCTATATTTAATAATAAGCATTGCTTTGTATGGTTGGTTGTTTGCCTTCTGTTGTTGCTTTTTCAGTACGAGAGACATCAGCCGAGCTCCTATCTAACCAGGCTTGTCCGATGGAAACACAGTTCACAGACAGTTAAACTTACACACAACAGAAAGCACAGAATGGAGAGAAGAAAGAAGCATTATATAGCCACTCACAAACATTCATTTCTAAATATAATAGTTATAGTGCCTATTTGAAACTGAGCATTGTAAATAACAAAGCAGAAAAGCTAAAGAGCAGTGATTCATGAAATTTTCAAAAATATTAAAAGGAAAATGACAAAAGATAATCATAAAAGCAGAAAATACTCAAGAAATCCTCCTTAGGAATAAAAGTTTACTTGTAACAATTAGAATTTCTTAACTGTTATCATTTTGTCTGGTTACCAAAGGAAACGATACTAGAGATGAAGTAGATATATGAAGTCCTGCTGCAAAACACTCCCCTTTGCTGTCTCCACCCACCACAGGCAGACTTAGTGATTGCCTGTCTCCTTTCTGGAGTGAAAGCTCCATGGAGTCGGGGACTTGGCCAGTACTGGTCATTGTAATCTCAGCATCTGGCACAATACGTGGCACTCAGCGGGTACTCAATAAATAATTATCAATTAAAGAGTTGAGCTCATTTATACACATAGTTTCCTGTTAGGTTTTCTTTCTTCTTCTATTCCCTCTGCAAGACAGGCAGTTGCTCTCTCTCATCCTGCTCTTGTAATTTCTGACTGATTTTAAGAAGTTATTCAATAGATCAGTTAATACTATGATTTAATGTGTTCTCACTCTCAGCAGCCAATCTGGCTCCATAAATAACGGTGTCCAGTGAAAATAAAAACTGGGTTCCTTGTTCAGAACTTGCTGACTTTCATGATGGCAACATGACAGCATTAAACCAAGCACGGGGTCCTTGAAGGAATATGTGCACAAGTGGCATGCTGATGGGGCTGGCCCGCAGGGGATTGTATTTTGATAGAGAGGCCTGGAGAAGAAGATGTTTAACCCAAAAGATGAGTCACTGAAGGGAATGGCATATTCTATTCTCATGCTGAAACTGGCTTTGGTGTTTCATTTTGCTTATATTAGAGTGGAATACTACAGTTTAGTATAAAGATCTGAGACTGCCTGATTCAACTGATGTCAATAAAAATTATTATCCCCACATAGCAGAAGACTACACTTAAAGTACCACTTAAATATGAAATATAGACACATTTCTGGAGATACAGTTTGGACAGTGAGAATGAACAAGCAATAGCGTCGAGAAAAATCTTGGACTATATTAATTCTATGGACCATATAGGAGTCAGAAGAAATTCCCACAAATTGGGTGAGCGAAGTCAAAGAGAAGGGTACTATTGTTGACATAAGTAAACATGTGAGGACCTCTTCAATTTTGACTGTTGCTGCTTATATTACTATTTTAGGAAATTTCAGATTGACCAAGTGGTCAGAGGTTTTATTGTGTGTTAAAAGTTTTCTTTATATTAAATGTAAGCTATTTTAAGGTGACATTTTAAACGTTACAAAATTTTTGTGAACACTTTCCATACAAAATTTTACATTGATTCCTAGTTGCTGCTGTGTTTTAAGAGAGAGATATGAAACTTACTAAGATGAGTATGAGATACCAGAAGGCGTTTCTGCCTAATACAGTGTAACAAACACTTTCTTAAATGACAGAGCCCCATCTCTAGATATGTTTTTGAGGACTTTTAAAATTTAAATATAAAATATACCAGGAAGGTAAGGTGTAGTTTACATAATTACTAGTACAGTTTAAATGACAATGATATCAGAAAATTTTTAAAGAAAAAACCTACATATATTTTGGAGTTTGCCTCATGCATTTGATTGAATAATTAAAAACTATGATATATGTGATGATAGATTGTCTTATTTTCACTTGAATTCAACAATGGAAACTTTTTCCTCCTAAGTCTGTAAACAGTTATGTTGTTTATTGTGAGCATCAATTGTCTTGTCATTTTAAGTTTATGTTTCTTGTTTTTTTTTTGTTGTGTTACAGTTCTGTATCTGGCTCTATGTCAATATGGTCACAAACTGACCTTGCCCTCAAGGAGCTTCTGATCTAAGTTGTCAAATTACTTTGTTGACAGATGACTTAGAAATAAGCCACAGCATATAGTAGGATGGAAGCCGTACTTAGAGTTCGGTCAGATTTTTGTAGGAATTGTGAGTGCTTCTGTCAATGTGGACACAGGAAAGTTTTGCAGAAAAATGTCATTCAAGTTAAATCCTGATAGAATTAGGACTACAATAGTGATGGTGGAGGGAGGGTACATTGGGCAAAATGCACAGGATGAAGAAGCTTTATGGAATATTTCATGACTCTTTATTTAAAAAGCACATGTGTAGTAATTATAAATTTATCAATTAAAAATGAAATATACTGGAATTTTAACTGCTACAATTCAATTTCATAAAATGAAAATTCTTCACATACTTGCTGAAACATGCATGACACTTTCAGTCTGACATTTAGGCAAACGTGAAAATCAGCCTTTTAAATACTGCCAATTGGTTGTTATTTGTTTACATAAATATAATTGTTATAGTAGATGGTTAATTTTCAGAAGGATTACTGAAAAATATTCCATTACTTCCTGCAGTTTTTTTTCATGTAAAGTCCTTGAGTGCTTGCTATCTTGTATGCATTCCTTTGTGTGACCTGACAAACTTGTAGGTTTACAGTAAACTCAGGAGCATCTGTGCTGTCTAAGGGACTGGAGGTTTGTGGAATTCCTGTGGTGAGACATCTGGTGGGCAGATATAGCATAGGACTCAATATTGATTTGATGATATTTTCTTACCTTGTTAGAGTATGCAAGCATTTTATATAGCAGAAAATTAAGCAAGATTTAGAGGATTAAACTAGAGGCATCAGCATAAGATAGGTGCATGGAGGTGACCAACTGAGAAAATTAGTTTGAAATTTTGGCTTTACTGCTGACTACCTGACTGGTCACCATAATTATGTGAGCAAATGTCTGTACACGTATTCACATCTGTGAAATAAAAGTTCTGGATAACACAGAGCTATGGTATACAACTAATGTGAATAGGTAATAAACAGGAGGGCAAAACACAAACAATTATATCCACATCACTGGATTTAATTCTTTGCACTTTTCTAATTAAGGAAGAATAGAAACTCATAAAATTCTGCTAGAACTGAAGTCTGTAGAATGATTATGGTGAATGATTGTTTTATGTTAGGGGAAGTCATAAATAAGGCTAACACATGTTAGACATGACAGTGCTTTGCTCATCGGAAGCTTCCATGCAGTAAAAGTTATGTAATTGGTTCCTGAGTAACTGGACACAGAAAAATTCATTTTCTTCCTTGTCTCCAAAATTGTGAGGTTAAATCCATGACCTCCAAATTAATGATGGAGAACAGGGGTCAGCAAGCTGTAAAGGGCCAGATAGTAAATATTTTCAGCTTTGCCGGCTATGTGGTTTCTGTCACAACTATTCTGCTATGCTACTATAGTAGGAGAGCTGCCACGGACAATAAAATTGAATGGACACGGCTATGTCCAATAAAACTTTAATTACTA